TCAATCCACAATAAAAACTTAAAAAAAAAAATCAATTGACCATAAAAACAAAACTGTCAATCTTTCAATTAGTAATTTAGCACTTAATTGTTTGCACCACCCAAGGACTCTTACTTTAAGAAAAGATTATTGAAATTAGAAAAAGTTATTCCCATTAAGTTATAGGCAACCTTAAGTGAGGGTCCAAACTTACAGCGAACCTGCATATGGTTTCCAAGGACAGCTTTCAAGTGCTGACAACATGGTTAATAGTCCAGTGCTTATACTACAGAGACACATCAGTACTCCCAAGACATACTTATGTTGCTGTTAGGTGCCATTGAAGTGGTTCCAACCCATAGCAACCCCATGTACAAGAAGACTAATCACCACCTGGCCCTGCAACACCCTCAAAATTTATACCTGCTTGAGCCCATTGTTGCTGCCACTGTGACAAAAAAGAGGGCTTCCCTCTTTTTTGCTGACTCTCCACTCTACCAAGCATGATGTCATCTCCAGGAACTGGTCCATCATGATAACATATCTGAAATATGAAAGACGGAAGTCTGGCCATCTTGGCTTCTAAGGAGCATTCTGGCTGTGCTTCTCCTAACACAGGTTTGTTCTTCTGGCAGTCCATGGTAACTTTAATATTCTATTCCAACAGCATAACTCAAATGCATGAATTTTTCTACAGTCTTTTTTTCCTTGTCCAACTTTTACATGCATACAAAGCTACTGAAAATACCATAGCCTGGGTATTTTAGTCCTCAAACTAAAGGCACACTTTAGTCCTCAAACTAACATCTGTGCTCCTGAACACTTTAAAGAGGTCTTGTGCAGCACAATGACTTAAAGTAATACGTCATGTGATTTCTTGACTACTGCTTTCATGAGTGTTAATAGTGGATCCAAGCAAAACAAAGTCTTTTGACAACTTCAATCTTTTCTCCATTTACCATGATGTTATTTATTACTCCATTGGTGACGATTTTTGCTTTCTTCACAAAATAACAAAGGGTGTGGTCTTTGATTTTTATCAGTAAGTATTTTACGTCATCTTCACTTTCAGTAAACAAGGTTGTTATTATCTGTGTATTGTAGGTTATAAATGAGTCTTCCTCCAATTCTTCTTCATATAATCTAGCTTCTCATATTATTTGCTCAGCATACAGACTGAATAAGTATGGTGAAAGAATGCATCCCTGGCACACATCTTTCCTGATTTTAAACTATTCAGTGTCCCCTTGGTTAAAGTACAGGTTCTGCCCACGTTGTCCATAGCTTGTCATGATCCACTCAGTCAAAAGTCTTTGATGCATAGTCAATAAAGCACAGGAAACTATCTTTCTGGTATTCTCTGTTTTCAGTCAAGATCCATCTGATACCAACAGTAATATCCTTGTTTCACATCCTCTTCTGAATCTGGCTTGAATAAGGCATACTTACAACTTACTAACTGCTAACCTGGAGTCCTGGTGTGGTGCTGTGTATTAATGTGCCAAAATGCAAAGCCATTTGAACTTCAAGGTCTGCGGTTCAAGCTCACCAACTGCTCCTCAGAAACCCTATATACAGGGTTGCTATGGGTTGGAATTGACTCAACAGCACGTAACAGCAACTGCTAATCTGAAATGGAATACTTCTCAGAACTACCAATATGCAACCAAGACAAAATAAAAATGCATTAAAACTAGTGTTTAAAATGGAGACCATACTTGATACACAAAGAAAATGTGAAAAACAGTTGTGTTCCTTCTAATTCATTACATCACCAGAAAGTCCTTTAAAAGCAGCTATTTTATGTTTAATAAATTTGAACACTAGATTATACATAGTATTACTAGGAAGGAAGGTTGGCAATAATTACTTACATGGGCTGGCCATACTGTTGGTTGTGAGTCATCAGATTTGATAGACTTTTCTACTTTCGCATATTTCTCTACCTAAACAATCAAATTAAGAGAAAATGTCTAAGACAGAATCAGTATTCTGATCAAAGGAAAGAATATAAGTAACATAACAGAATAAATCTTGAATCACTAATATTAGCTACTTAAATTAAAGTAGTTTACAACTCTCCTAGTAGATTTAGTTAAAACTAGCTTTAAAACTTCCAATAAAAAAAAAAAAAATTGCCATGAAACATAATAAACACGGTTGTTTTCCTGGACAGTGGCTTGCTTCTCTTTTTAGCTTCTAAATTAACATCACACTTGTCTTTTATTATAGCCTTTCCTTTAGAAAAATTGGGTTGCTGAAGAAAAGATTAAAAACAGGATCTTTTCCCTTTGGCTTAGTTTATAATGAAACAGGAGTTGACATATTATAGTGAGTACAAAACTGAAAGATGACTGAGGAAGATTTAACATTAAAGCTGATAAAAATTTTGTGACATTTTATTCTTCTCTAGATAGACTTAGCAGGAGCCCTGGTAGTGTAATGGCTTATCTGTTATTTACAAGGCCAGCACTTTGAATCCAGAGAAAGAGGAGGTTGTCTATTCCTGTAAAGATGTGTTGTTGTTAAGTACTATCAAATCAGTTCTGAATCAGTAACCCTGTATAGGGTTTCCAAGGAGCAGCCGGTGGGTTTCAACTGCCAACCTTGTGGTTAGCAGTCCAGTACTTATTCCACAGTACCACACCAGGACTATGGTGCTGGAAACTCTACACAGGGTCATTATGAGTTGGAACTGACACAGCGACACACAGCAGCAGCAGTCAGACTTGGGCCATAAATTTGTGTGAACCAAACACTCTCATCTTACTGAGGCTAGAGTAACTGAGATTCATGTGGGCACTTGTTAAAAATATGAATTCCCATGTTCTTCCCCTTTAAGACGGGAATGTAGCCTGAGTTGGGCTAGAATCTTTTATGTTTTAACTAGTATCTTGGTGATTTTCAGATCCAGTTAGACTGAGAAACTGCATTAAGGCCCTGCTGCTACAATCGAAGCCCAAAACAAGCATTACCTGGGAACTTGTCATAATTGCAGCATCTCAGGCCCTAAACCACACTTGCAGAATTGGAATCTGCATTTTAAGAAGTCGCAGGTGATTGTATGTACATTAAAAATTGGGACGTGCTGCTATGTATAACAACCTGTCCTCAAAAACTAAATTCTGTCCTACATCGTTTACATTAAACACTGATTCACAGGTCTTGTTTCTCGAGGAGAGCATAAAGTATTAAGACAATTTTGTCTTTCTTCAGTTGCATACACTATCTATTTCTTATTCTTTGCTTTTTGCTTTTCACAATGTTGACTTTCCCTCCACAGTTAATACGGAGAAGACGACGCTTTGGTGGTACATATAGTTAAGTGCTTGGCTGCTAGCCAAAAATCGGCAGTTCAAACCCACCAGTCATTCTGAGAGAATGATGTGGTCGCAGTCTGTTTCCATAAAGACTGGAAACCCTATGAGGTAGCTCTACTCTGTCCTATATCTTACAGGGTTGATATGAGTGGGAAATAACTCTAAGGCAATGAGTCTGTTTTGTTGTGTTTGTTTTTAAATATGGAGAATATGTGTGATAGCCAAGGAAGGAAACAAAAGAACACCAAACACTATTAGGCAGGCTGACCAATTATAAAGAGCTGTGCAAATAATAAAAAAGGAAAACTGGATAAACAGTAAAATAAAATGTGGATGTCTCATCAAAACATCCCTCTTCTGTCTTTAATCATTTATAAAGTTTGTGTGTCCTAAGGATTAACAAAAAGTATCTCCCTAAATTTTCTTTTAAATCTTGTCTGCTGCTCAAATACCAATTTTTAAATAACTTAAAAATATTCTGTGTATAAATAAAGAAGCATTTAAAAAGTATGATGAAAACTATGAAAAAGCTAGAGGCATAAGGTGTATTATATAATATGTACCATACATTTTTCCACTTAAAAAAATTGTTTTGCTTATTGTTCCTGCTCTAAACACAGAACTATGTTTAGGGTTTAAATTTACTACTCAATATGAATGAACAATACTAAACTTATAAAAATAAGCTATTAAAAACAAAAACATTATTTTGTCTTTTTAAAGACAAAGTTTTTCCCCTCCAAAGTATCAGCTACCATCAGCTAAACTTCCGAATTTTACACAGTAAAAGCAATTCATGGATTTACTTACATCCACTTCAGAAGGTATAGTCAAATTACATGGATTCCGTTTCCACATATCAACGCACTAAAAAATTAAAAAAGTTATCATTGCTCCAAAACTTCAAAATAAGACCAATTTGTCATATTAATAAACTTTATTTAAAAATATAAACCTACTAAATAAAGAAAAAATATATATACTTACATTTCCTGCTTTAGAGATTTTGAGGTCATAATGCTGACCTGCTTTTCTTTCTTTTCTTTTTTGTAAGAAATCAAGTAATTTTAGCTGAGGAGGAGGTGGACAATGAGACAGATCTTGCTGTCGATTCAGAGAGGACCTAGAATATCTCTTGAAACACCTAAAATATGATGAGATTTAAACTAAGCAAAGCTTACAAAAGAAAATATATTTTGGTTTAATCAGCAAACACTGAATATCTAACAAACTTATAAAAATTTGCGTTTTGCCACATGGCAAGCAAGGTCTTAAGACACTGGTGAAATAATAATGAACAGGGCAACTAAAATCCTGCTGCCCTTCAATGAAGCTACTGCTAGGGTGGGGGTAGGGGAGATACAGACATTCACAAGTAACCAGAAAATTTCCGGTAGCAAAAACTTAGAAAAAAGAGGGTACCATAGTAAGTAATAAGGATAACAGGGAAGGGAAGGGGAGGAAAGGGAAACAAAGCACCCTATAGAGAAATGACTGGGTAGTGGACATATATGATGAAAAGCAGTGGCATCACTAGGGGAGTACAGAGGAACATAGAGGGACACTGTTAAGAGGGACGACACCAATATGACTGTCAATAGAATTTAGTGCAGTGTTTCAGCAGAAATGTATTATTTTTTCATAGCAATATATCTGAAGTTAGCTACATCAAAAACATTTTTTATAAACTCAGCTTACATGTATCAACACATCAAACAGGTTAAAACCTTATGTTAATTTAACTTTTTATGTGCTCCAGTTAGAGCAATCATTGTTACCCAATTATAACAAATCACATGGTTCATCTGCATACAATGTTTTTGTTGCTGCTGCTTTATAGTTGCTGAGTTTATCAAATTCCCTGTATCTTAGTTACAATTGTGTGGTAATTACTATTCATGAACCAATATGAGTAACTTTTTTGAGACAAAAGCTGCAATTAAAGGAAAATAAGTAAAAATTGGCTCTGTTTAAGCTAATACTATAAATCAATGTAGAAAGATTTTATAAAAATCTTATTGTCAGTATTCATATAATCTAAGAATATTACCTTTTAAGTAACTTGTAGCTAGTTATATTTACAAATTTTATTCTATGATTGAAATTGGTAATGAACATTACTAGAGATTCTGTTATGGTCTGCTACAGGAGGTCCTTAGGGGGTTGGGGTGGTGTTTGACACCAACCCTAGTGACACCACTGAAGAACAAGGTCATAGGAAAATCAGAAAATGAATATGTGAAATACAAAACTATTTTTAAAATGTGCTGAGTCTAAAACAAACTCATTGTACTTCAAAACCAGAAAAAGGTAGGTGTAATTTGAATACCAGGGTCAAAATGGTAGGAAATGAAGTTAAAAAGCAAGGTAGGGACCTTACATATCTTAGCAAAGTGCTTATATTTAAAATGATGTATAATGGAATACTTTTAATATAGTCTGAGCAAGGGGTGGCATGACCTGGTTTATAGTTTTGGAAAAATTTATTATGATTCCTTACATGGCAAACCGACTGAAAGTGAGCAAAAATAGAAGCAGGAAAACCGGTAAGGAATTTTCACAAACATCAAGGTGAAGCTAATTGTGGCTTGAACAAAGGTACTGGCAGTAGGGATAGGACTGCTGATGAACCCGTTACAAAATTATTTCACTCTATACAAGGTCATGGACACCTGGTGTGGCTCTGTAGGATCAGCACTGAAATGGGAACTGCAGGCCAGCAGTTCAAACCCACCAGCTGCTTTGGAAACACTATATACAGGATCACTGTGAGTTGGAACCAAGCTGAGGGCACTTAACAACAATAACATACAAGGTCACACCTTTTTCCTCAGCAAAAACTAAATGGGTATGTTTTCTGAGTCCCTTCAAATTTACTTTATTAAACAAAAGAGAGAGTTAAAATATTTAAGATGTAATTGTTGCAAGTGCTACAGAGTTGGTTCTGAAACCTGTATAGGGTTTCCAAGGAGCAACTGGTTAGAAGTCCACTGTTTATCCTACCGCACCATACCCAGACTCCAGATATAATTATCATACTATAAAAAATTTTAGTTATAAACTGATTTCTAAGATTAGATCATATTTTCTCAAATCGGAAAAGAAAAAAAAAAAAAATACATATATGATTTCCTTTTAAGTAACATTTCCAAAACTCATTCTCTCTTTCTCATTTCACCTCTTCTTCTTCACTGTGCCTTTCTGGTGAAGAGATTATATAAACTTACAAGGAATTTTTCCTTTAGATGAGTGTAACATTTCAATATCAAGCAAAGAATATTTAAAAATCACTTTCCTCATAGGAAAAATTTTATAAAAGCCTTTTTTTAAAAAAGCACATTTATACTTTGGAAAGGAAAAAATAAAACTTTTTCTTTTCAAAGTTTTATTTGGAAATTTAATAGAAAAATTTAGAACTACTTGTCACAAGAAGATCTTTTAGTTCACCTTTCCACAAAGGCAATTACCGTTTCATTGGTCGAGTGTTCATTTTCTGTTTGTTATAGAGTAGTCTGTTTGCAGTGCATGCTACTGCTACGGAAGGGTCAAGACACAGTGGCTCAGCAGTGGCTAAGATCAACTGGCTCTCAAGCAAAAGTTTGTCTTCCTGAAATGTATAAGAATATATCAACAATCACATTTAAGAGCTTCAAATAGTGTATCAATTCCTTAAAACTTTGCCAAGGAAAAAAAGTAAAATACCATAAGCTCACGTTCTAACTTTAGTATGAATATTTCAGAAGCTTGGCAGCATGAAAATGTCTAGTGAAAATTCAGTAATTTGTGCTTAGTTCAAAATGGTCAAACAGTAGTATGCCTATTCATTAATTAAAATATTTACTAACCATCTACTAGGTGTTAGGCCCTGTTCTACATATTGGAGATAAAGCAAGGAGGATAACTTATAAAACCCTTGACCTCACAAAGTGAGGATTGCAGCACATTCTCCCAGTAACAGATAATGGTCACATTCCACACTAGTTTAACTATGGTATAAGATTAAAAAAGACTACACTAATAATCCAAACTCAAACAGGCCTACATATTACATATTGTATTTGTTACTTAGGTATCTTTTTATCTGTTAACAAACACCTCTTGCCTCATCCTTTTTTTTTGGGGGGTCATGCAAATTACTGATGGATTTGGGCATCTGGTTCCTCATAATTCATTTAACTGGATCTTTTATTTCCTGCATTCCCTAAAAGCAGTTACTTAGATGAAGAGGCCTGATTTAATTCAAGTTTTATTTTATTAAGACAATAATTCTTCATCAGTACTACTGTGTGCTTTCTATGGCATCACTGTAGTGGGCAAACAGCGATGGACTGTCCCATTTTTGTTTAAGTAGGTTTAGTTACTTGGTGTCTACATTATGAAATTTCCTGGGGGGTGGGGTGGTAGTGGCTTCCCAGGAACTTTTCATCTAATGTTTTTTACATTTATGTATGACTCCTGTCATTAGGAGTACCTTACTGATAATTTAAATTCTGAATTATCAGTCCTTTTGTAGCTTTTAGCTGGAATTTTCCTCAAGAAAATTTCCTCATTTACTATTTGATTATCAACATATTATACTGTATTTCATACTATATTTTACAGTATGATAGAGTAGGAAAATATTTATCACTGTTGGGTGCCATTGAGTCAGTACCGACTCATACTGAACCTAAGCACAACAGAACGGAACAGTGCCTGGTCCTGAGCCAACCTCACAATGGCTGGTACTTATGAACCCACTGCTGCTGCCACTGTGCCAATCCATCTCGTTGGGGGGCTTCCTCTTTTTCTCCAACCTTCCACTTTACCAAACAAAGCTTCTCCAGAGACTGATCCCTCCTGATAACACGTACAAAGTATGAGAGACAAAATCTGGCCATCCTGGCTTTCAAAGAGCATTCTGGCTGTACGTCTTCCAACACAGATTCGTTTGTTCTTTTGGCAGTCCATGGTATTTTTAATATTCTCCTTCAACATCATAACTCAAATGCATCAATTCTTCCACACTAACCAATTTTCATATGCACCTGAAGTTATTAAAAATACCATGGCATGAGTCAGGCACACCTTAGTCCTCAAACTGACATCTTTGCTCTTCAGCACGTTAAAGAAATGTTGTGCAGCAGATTTGCCTAATGCAATACATTGTTTGAGTTCTTGACTGCTGCTTTCATGAGTGTTGATGGCTTATGTGAACAAAATTTCTTTGACTTTAATCTTTTCTCCATTTGTGTGGATGCTGTTTATTGGTCCAATGGTGAGGATTTTTGTCTTCTTTACACTGAGGTGCAACCTATACTGCAGGTTGTGGTCTTTGATCTTCATCAGTATTTTAAGTCCTTTTCACTTTCAGCAAGCAAGGTTATATTATCTGCATATCGCAGGTTGTTAATAAGTCGTCCTGCAATCCTGATGCCACGTTTTTCTTCATATAATCCAGCTTCTCTAATTATTTGCTCAGCTTACAAATTAAGTATGGTGAAAGAATACAATCTTGCTGCACATCTTTCCTAATTTTAAACCATTCGGTGTTCCCATTTTCTGTTCAAACAACTGCCTCTTGGTCTATGAACAGTATGCTAAAATACGAAAGGTAAAGTTAAGTATTATCAACTTTTTGAACAAAGAAGGAATTGGTACCTTAGCAACCGTCAATAGTGAAAAATGAATTTGGCTTTGAATATTACTCCGAAAGCTTTTAACCTTCTTCTTGGGGAAAAGATTATAACCCAAATAAATGACTTGATAAGTATTAATGAACTAAATCTTTATATTCAGAAAAGATAGTTTTCATTACTAATGTTTTCTTTGGTTTAGTAATGATTATTTTCTGTACAGCAGAGAAGAGAATACCCTTGTGAGTGCACGCACATTATTAATGAGCCCGAAATGAAGGGTTAACTGGGAGAAAGAAAGGCCCCCTACTACCAAGGCAAAGCAGCATAAATGACAAGTAATAAAAAACTAACTTTCACATTGGGTACATGAAGTCAGTCTGACTCTATTTCACTGGGATTGGAATTCCCTGAGGAGTTATAATTATGTATGAAGAGACCCTTGACTTTGAAAATTCATAGAGGAATTCCAGATCATTTTTCACAAAAGCTGTCAAACTACTGGTGAATAAAAATGTGACCTGAAACTACCTTATGCATAACAAAATGTAAATTATTGCTTCATTTGTATTTGCCTGTTTGATATTAAACAATAAAAACAACTAACCTGGGTCCATTTATGGTTATCACTTGCTATTGAATGTACATCACAGATTAAAGTCTAGAGGGAAAAATTTTTTTAAAGCAAATTAGTGTACACAAGCACAAATATATGAATACAGTTAATAATAAAACTACAAACTAAAATCTACAACGATGTTGGTAGTTATGTGCCGTGGAGTCGGTTCTGACTCATAGCAACCCTGTACGGGGTTTCCGAGGCTGTAAATCTTTATGGGAACAGAAAGCCTCATCTTTCTCCCGTGGAACGGCTACTAGTTTTGAACTGCTAAGCTTGAGGTTCGCAGCCCAATTTGTAACCACTACACTACCAGAGCTCCTAAAATCTACAATGGTATTTCTTAAAACATTTCTTACCTGCATTGTTGGACGTAACAGAATATGCCTACTTTGGTAACCAGGAGTTTTCGTATTACTTGACTGTCTGTAGTCACGTATTTCTGCTATGACACATCCACAATGAAAAATATTAACCTGTTTTGAGTGAAAACATTTAAGTAAATGTCATTTTTTGAAAGTCTTCATAAGAGGATTTGGGTTCTAGCTCTTTCCACTGTAATGCAGTATTTCTGGCTACTTATGCACCCTTAAATAGATTTCCTATTGCATAAATTAGCTAAGGAAAACTGTTTTATGCTTATTAACATGGCCCAAGTAGAAATTTTATACTTTGCCAACTTTTGTTACAGAACATCCTCTGGAAATTCTCCTGGACTTTTAGCAAGGAGTTGCGGATTTGGGTAAGGAGTCAGAGATGCAAGACATGAGCAAGACAACAGGAGTGTGAGAAAGCAGTTTTAATAGAAAGCAAAAGTACACTAGATAAGCACGCAGGTCTACCTCAAAAAGCCAGTGAGATAGACATCGAACACAGCTGTCTAGGGGTATTTATTCTTTAAAATGTCCACCTCTGACTTTCTCATAGCTCACAGACTTTTCTTCTTTTTGTCTTACTTATTTTCTTCTACCTGTGGTTGTGAGGGATGCTGGGTCTGTTCCTCCTTCCTTACTTACATCCTGTTCTATCACTTTGTTATTGCTATAAACTTTGTTACTGTGTTCACTTGCCAATCAGCCTTCCCAGAATTTCAAGTTTTCGACACACCTCCTACATTTGCCCTACTAAATTTTCTAGAAATAAAGATTGAGACATTACTAGTAAGAGGAGGGATGGTAACTACAAATTCAAATAACCTTCCATCAAAAAATAATTGTTTTCTAGCCCTTTATCTGGACTTTTGGTGAGGTATTGTAGGATTAGCACTGGACTTCAAACCACAAGGTCAGCAGTTCAAACCCATCAGCTGCTCCTCAAAAACCCAATACAGGTTTGCTGTAAGTCGGAATTGACTTGACAGCACTTCAACAACAGTCCTTTTTCTACAGAACCCTGGTGGCACAATGATCAAGGACTAACCAAAAAATGGGTGATTTGAACCCACCAGTTGCTCTGCTGAAGAAAGATATGGCAGTTTTCTTCCATAAAGATTAAAGTCTTGGAAACCCTAGCTGGTAGTTCCACTCTGTCCTATATTGTTATGAGTTGGAATCCAACTGAACCCTTATTACTCAGGTCTTACCAATTATCACTCACCACAGTCACTCAAAGTATTGTTTTCTTCACCCACAGAGAACAGTTAGTATATAGTGTGACCTCCATGTTATTTGTCATTCTATGTTTTACAACAATATTTACTGAATAACTACAGTGTTCAGGTGTGGCACTGTAGGGTAAACACTGGAATACTAATCACAAAGTTGGAGGTTCAGACCCTTCAGCCACTGCTCATAAACCCTACGGTGGTGGTGTGCCATCAAGCTGGTTCCAACTCATCGTGACCCTGTATAGGTTTGGGAACAGATAGCCTTATCTTTTTCCTGTGGAATGACTGGTAGAGTCAAACTGCTGTCCTTGTAGTTTTTAGCACAGTTTGTAACCCACTGTGCTACTAGGGCTGGAAACCCTATGTTGTTGCTGTTAAGTGCCATCAAGTTGGTTCTGACCCATAGTGACCCTGTATAGGGTTTCCGAGGAGCAGCTGGTGAGCTTGATCTGCTGACCTTGTGGTTCAAAGTGACTTTGCAGTCCAGTGCATTAACCCACAGCGCCACACTGGTTCATTATGCATCGGAACTGTAACAACAATGTACACTGTCTCAGAAGCTTCAGGATACAGTAGTATGACATTTGCTCTTAGTGTGGCATGGCAAGCATTAAATAAGGAAACAAACAAGATACTTTTAGATAGTAATGTATATTATGAATACTCTAAAGAATAAAATTATTGTTAAGTGCCATTGAGTTGATTCCGACACATAGCGACCCTATATAGGGTTTCTGAGGAGCAGCCGGTGAGCTTGAACCATGGATCTGGCAGTTCAAATGGCTTTGCAGTGTGGTGCATTAACCCACAGCGCCACACCAGGACTCCAAAGAATAAAATAGAGAGGGTCAAATTTAGATTGAGTGCTCAAATAAAAACCTCTCTTAAGAAGTGATACTTCAGTAGAGACCTGAATCATTAGACAGAACCAGTCTGTTCCAGACATTAGGAACAGGAGGACTTAAGAGAAGTCTGCTGAATTTTAGTATGGACAGAAGGCATGGGTGGATGGAATGTAGTGAGTGATGATGAACATTAAGAGAAGAGGATAGACATAAAAACTGGGGTTTTGTACAATGAGAGCACACAGAGAACTTTATAAGCAGAGATTCTTAGTTTTGTAAGGTTATTGTGGCTATCCCTAATGAACCCGTCTTGGTGTTGTGCTATAGACTAAGCAAGCACTGGACTGCTAATCACAAGGTTTGCAGTTCAAACCACCAGCCACTCACTGGACATCCCATACAGAGTCACTATGAGTCCAAACTGACTAGCTAGCACTTTAGAAGTACAGGATGAACACAGGGAATTCAGCAATGTAACTATGGCAGTGGATCAAGTATTTTGATTGGTAGAGCTGACATTTCCAGTAGACTGAACATGGAAGGGGTGGGAAAAATGGATTACAAATGTTTACTCTGGTAGCATGGAATCCTGGTGTGGTGCTGTGGGTTAATGCATTGGACTGCAGAGTTGTTTTGAACAGCAAGGTTGGCGACTCAAGCTCACCAAAACCCTATACAGGGTTGCTGTGAGTTGGAACCAACTCAATAGCACTTAATAACAATACCACCACCACCACTCTGGTAGTGTAGATTACGATCTAGGCTGCTAACCACAAGGTCAGAAGTTTGAATCTATCAGTTGCTCCATAGGAGAAAGATGAGGATTTCTGTTCCTGTCAAAATTTACAGCCTTGGAAACCCTGTATACAGGGTCTCTATGAGTTGGAATCGTCTCCACGGCACACCACCACCACCACTAGTAGTATCATTCTTTACAGTGGAGGCTGCGAATATGGCTGGTTTTGGAGATAAAATTTTAAATGTTCTGTTTTGGTCATGTTAAGCTTGAGGACCTGTTTAAGCCAAGGAAATATGGGAGTTTGGAGTCTGGTGGATTGGCCATGGCTAGATAGTTGAAATGGAATTTTTTTACATCCATGAAACTGATTGAGGCCATCCAGACTAACTCCAGGAAAAAGTATTAGGAAAGGATTGGGATTGGATCCTAAAACTTGTACATATTTATGGGTGAAACACAGACGACACCAAAGACAGAAGGAAGTGAAGAAAAGAATAACCAGGAATATGTGATGTCTCAAAAAAAGAAAAAAAGTCAAAAGAAGGGTGTTACAAGGAGAAAGTGGTTATTTGCACTGAATGCTAAGAGACCAATTAAAATGAGAATAGAAAAGTGACCAATTGATTTAGTGCCACAGAAATCACTGGCTACCTTGGCAAGAGAGCAGCTTCTGAAGAATGATGCCACAATGCAGAGTGAAGTGAATGGAGAAAAGAATGGAATGTGAGGAAGAGAATACAAAATCATACGATAATTCTTTGAGTAATTTTGCTGTCCAGGACTTCTGGTGTGGTGCTGTAGGATCATCACCGGACAGTGAACCACAAGGTTGGCAGTTCAAACCCACCAGCTTCTCCTTGGAAACCCTAAGCTGTTGCTGTTAAGTGCTGTCAAGTTGGTTCCGACCAGACCACAGCGACCCTGTATAAGGTTTTCAAGGAGCATCTGGTGATCCTGAACTACTGACCTTGCAGTCCAGCGCATTAACCCACTGCACCACACCAGTACTCGGAAACCCTATACACAATTGCTATGAGCAGAGACTGACTGGACAGCACTTAACAATAAGATTTTAAGTTCAGATATTACAGTATAATATTTGTGTTTTATATATAATAGAGAGAAAAATAAAAATAGATACTAGAAGACATGTAGGTTATTACTGCAAGTCCTGGAAAAGGAAGGGAGGATCCGAATATAAGTCAAGTCCCTAGGAATGTTTTAGGGGTAAGCACATGTCATCCATTTTAATAGGAGGGCAAAGTAGACAGATGCAGGGACACTGTTCAACTAGTACAAGGTGAGAATGGAAGCTCCCATGTGATTGCTTTTCTTTCCTCAGCGAAATACATAATAGGACTGGGGTTAACCAGAGAAGGAGTACAGGAAAAACAAGTGATTACCTTGGTTAGAGAAGGAAAATGCAGACATAAAGGCCAGTTTCTAGTGCTCAAGTGAAGGGCTTATGTATTCAAGAATATTCAAAGTAATTTCTTTCATAATTTCTTAATTAGCAGCTATAAAAAACATTCAACAGATAAGCTAATTCTATTGCAGTTTTAGTAGAACTGACTAACTCAATCTATATATTACAATGCAGAGCATAAAGGCTCCAGGTTCTAAAATAAGCCAACTTCCATATATATGTTTTAAACACTGTTGGAAATTCTGGTTAAGATGAAATATGATTTATCACAAAATACCTATAGCAGACAAATGCAAGGACATTTTAAAGAGAAAAATTTTGTACCTGAGATTTTTCCAGGAGATCAACCAAAATAGGAGGTAATTCTTCTGCATCTAAGTATTCAAGCAATTCCCCTTCTTCATAAGGCAATCGAATGGTCTCAGAATCTTAATTCAAAAACATAAGTTTCTTAAAATAATCAAGCTCAAAGGAAAACCTAGGTGCATAATTTAAATGAATTTTCATAAAAAATAAAAAGCCAAAAAGGTCTTCAAAAGTCTTTCATTGAAGTCTTATATATCAGTTGCTTTCCTTATTACAAAAACTCACTAAATTATATAAAATTTTAGATCAGAAAGGAGAAAAAAACCCATAATACATTATGAAAGAATACCTGGTTGGTAGCCAATGCTCAATTCAGATATGAAAAGTAAAATTGGCATAAGAACACAATTCAAATCACAGCCACCCAAAGCAAACCCAATGTTGTCAAGGTGATTTAAATTCATAGAATCCTATAGGACAAAGTAGAACTGCTCCATAGGGTTTCCCAGGCTGTAAATCTTTAAGGTAACAGACTGTCTATCTTTCTCCCACTGAGTGGCTGGTGGGTTCAAACCACTGATCATTTCAGTTAGTAGTTCAGCATTTAACCTATTTTGTTACTAGGGTTCTTAAGTCACATTCAGCAGCACCATGATTAGAAGATGACATGATTCCAACATGAGAGTAAATGAAAGTTCCTCGATGATTACTTAATCTAACCTGCAAATTAAGAATGATAATTTGGTTCTTCATCTGAAAAATGATCACTTGTAGAACAAAATTCTCTAGTGTTACATTTTATAATTCTTAACTAGGTGAGTTCTCTGTAGAACCTATAACATTAGCATGGCCATATCAAATTTTTAGATGCTTCTAATGAAATTTTGGTGTTCTGGTGTGGCACTGTGGGTTAATGAGTTGGTCTGCAAAGTTGACTTGAACTGCAAGGTCAGTGGTTCAAATTCACCAGCTATTCCTCAGAAACCCCATACAGGGTCGCTATGAGTTGTAACCGACTCAATGGCAATTTATAGTAACAGCAATGAAATCTTAACAATGAAATCTAAGATTACTTATATTTTGAAGCTCTGTTTTCATATTCACATTTACAAGATAAATTTTTTAATAAAAAATTGACATAAAAGGCAGTGACTCTCCCTACTGATACTTTTCATCTTGTTTAAACAGGTCTGGTAAAGAGAGATGGGGATAAGATTCTTATGATTCAGTTGTGAGTAAATGTTATCATGACTAATTGTGACTGTCACAAACTGTAGACGTTTATAACAATTATGGGGAAGTAGTTAATCTTACAGTCCAGAAACAGAGGACCCTAGGACCATCAAGGGAGAAGAGCAAAAGCGGAATGTGGGATCTATCCATAGAAGCAGCAACACCAGAGATGGAGACAGAGATGAGGACATGGAGAGAGGGAGCAGATGTTGACTCTGAACTCAAGGAAGGGGAGGGACTGGGTGCTGGTGGCTAGGAGATAGGCTTGCAGAATGTGCCCTTTGGTCATTTAAATGATTATATATTTCTGAGTGTTTTTGTGTGTATCCCCCCAAAAAAACAAAAACTGACGGAATAGAAGCAAATACTGTTGAATGATTATGCATGGAGGAGATTGTAATCATTGCAATGAAACGATGGGTGTAAAGCCAATGTTCTCCCCCGTAAAGTATCACTCAGTTCACAATAAAAACTAAAAAAAAAGCAGTGAGTCTATAATTCTGAAGGTTGAAAACTCAGTATATGCAAAAGTAAAATATATCTTAAAATATTTTATGCTTAAAATAAAAATGCAACGTAAGTGGCAAAAGAAAAATCTGGACAACATTATCATGGTTTTTATAATTTGATACCAAAGACTTACCTCAATTAGAATACTTTTTAGAAAGGATAATCATATTTAAGAAAATTTCTAATATTCTAAAGAAAGCACATTACAAAGACAAACGCAATAAAATTTCTGTTCGCATTACTGATCTGATGGACTAACAATTTAGCAGGTAACCCCTTTTAAAAACTGGCCAAGGTATTTCTGAGGCAACAGCTCTCTGTAGCATCTTACCTGATCCATTTTTTCCCCTGAGCATCAGAGAATATCCCTCATTTCCTGGATACAGATTGACCACTAGACATGACAAAGTCTCTTGCATAACAAGCTTCTCTAACAAGTTCACATTTCTTCTTAATTTCTGCTTTTAAAAGAGGTAGATCATGAAAATGATCCATATAAACTTAACAAATACTACGATTTAATAAAATCAGACATGAATTAATCTTGGGATGCTTTTTCCATAGGATGATCATGAATATATGGGTTAAGATGCACCAACACTATGACACCATATATAGGACATCTATGTAAACTTAATTTTTACCTACTGCTAAATTTTATGTAAAGTAATTCAACCACAAAGAAAAACTGGTGGTCCATAAAATAAAAATATTTAAATATTAAATATGTAACATTGAATGTATAAGCAGAAAATATTAAAATATAAAACCATTAAATGTAATTACATAAAATATACGTTATACTTATTTGTAAATATAAACATTTATTTGCCTTATATAAATGAAGAATTTGTGGCAGTCTCTTCAGTTATACGCTGACAAGTGTACATTACTTATATATTTTATGTCCTAAACTAAATTCAAATAGGTTCAATAGCTCTGAGTTAAAATGTCAAACCCAAAACAACTAATTAGTAAGAGGAAACTTAGTCAATTTTCTTCAAATTTAACAATTCCTTACTTTGTGGTACAAGGAATTTACTTAATATATCTTTTAGCCATGGTCTTTGGGACTCCTACACCAAATAACTTAATTGGAGTATGCAAATAGGTTATACAGACTCTATTGTAGGGATTGGTTAGTTTTGTAATTGTGCTAGGTTTAAAATGAGTCATCTAAGAAGTAGAAAAAAGATGATCCAGGACCATAAGAAAAGAAGAGACATGAGAGAGTCCCGGAAAAGAAGCAGTAATGTGAAGAGTAGCAGTAGATTTCTGGACCCATGGATCCAGTAAAGCCAAGTGTCTATGGGCAGGAGGCTGACTTGCAGAATGTGCCCTTTGGACATTGACAGTGCTTAAAGGAACTTTGTAACACCTGCCCAAACAGGGCAGAGGCCAAGGTGTCACATGGCTGAGAGGTCAAAGACAAGAGCAAGACATGCCTATAGCACTGCAGAGAAGAGGTGTTCCTGACTGGAGGACTGCTGCATCCTGAATTATACCCTGGTCACTTCCTTAATAGACCCCACATTTATGAGTATTGTCTATGAGCTCTGTGAGACCAATGCAACACATTATCCAGAACCCAGATGTGAAGAAGAGAGTGCTGTGGGAGGGATGGTTGGTGTCAGAAGAGGGCAAACAAAGCCTTGGGCTGATTCTGAGCTTCTATTTGCCCCTTGTGAAGACATGGTTTTCCTGCCATTTTTGCATACTTTAAAAGAAAAAAAAAATTCCACCAGGAACTATTATGTACATTCATCAAAATCCATGATTTTAGAAATGGATACGATTTGAAATTAAATTTATTTATACACATAACAATTTCTTTCACTAAATTTTATTTAAGAAAGGTATCTGAGTCAATAGACATTTTTGTAGGATCTGAAAATTGTCATTATCTACGTTACATACATGCACATATTTTATAACAATGGTAAGTATTAAATAAGGATTTATTCATATACACAAAGAGCAAAAACATTCCATTCTTGGGGAAGAAGAGGAATAGGGAGAGTAAACAAATTTTAATCACTTTTATGCAAAAAACAAGCAAAAAAAGGACTATTTTACTATTTCTTTCATTGAAAAAAAAAAAAAAGAAAGAAAACACTTCCAAACTGTATACTTTAAATGTGTAATCAGGACTGTGAGGGTTAGAAATGTAAAGGTAGATGTTTTATAGCAAGGAGGAGAGTGATTAACTTTTCAGTCTAGGAGCGGAGGTCCCTAGGACCATCAAGGGAGAAGAGCAGAGAGCAGGACCCTAACCAGAGAAGCAGTGATGCCTGAAATGGAGGCAGAGATGATGACATGGAGCAATGAAGCCGCAGGAGACTTTAGATCTAGAGAGGAAGAAAGACTGACTGTGTGCTGAAGACCTGGGGGGTACGGGAGGCAGGATTGCAGGGTATACCCTTTGTTTGGTTGAAGATGCATGGAGGGGACTGTAACCATGGCAATGAGGCGATATACGATAGAATGAATGTAAAATTAATGTTCTCCCAGGTAAACTATCACATGATTCACAATAAAACATTTAAGAAAAAAAAAATGTGTATGTGCAATTCATTACACCTCAAGAAATCTGTTAAAACTTAAGGACTAACCACACCATAAAATTTATTTCTACAAGTCTAACAGGAATTTTTGTGTAATGGAAAAATTTTAGACGCTAGACACTGCTAGAATTCTACTATTTTTGGCTAAATGGTAAAAAGGCATTCGTTTTTTAATTAAGTAAGGACAAGAAAAGTTCATGAGACCTTTAAGACTTTTCCAAACCAGAAGTCCATAAGATATCTAGTAAATGATTTCTATTCTATCTATAAGTTGCATGCAGAAATATTTCCTGCATGTCATAAAAATGAATTGGGTCTATATAAATTAATAAGTTCATGGTCAGGGGAAATGTGAATTTTTCATGCATGCTATGTAATTTTACTTTTCCAGTACTTCTCGTACAAATCACTACCAGAAAATGGGTTACTTTTCTCGTGTTCAAAATACAGAAATTTCTTCCTAGGGCAAATTACAAATCAAAAGATAAACATATACTGTGGTTTTGCCTCCTGTGATTTCTCAGTCTGATATTCAGCTACTAGTAAGTGCTATTCCCTTTCTTGTACCAAAGCAGGTGACTTCTGCCTGGTGCCAGAGAAACCTGGGCTCTCTGAATCAGCGGCATAACAAGTTTGGCTACAAAAGATAACAGTTCACTCACTAAAATATAAATCATTAACTGCTTCAAACTGAAGTCCTCCAAACTTCCTACTTTCTCTATATTTTGAAAGTCACAGTAACCACAAAAAACTTGAATTTACCTTAACCTCAGGTTCTTTCTCACATTCTTCAACATACAAGTCATAAAGTTTTTGAAATACAGATTTTCTAAAAAAATTTAACAGACAATATACAATGTTAATGCAATAATCATTACCATGTAAACGACACTTTAAATTTTTCCTTAATTTTATCCAATTTTCCAAAAATTAGGGGTGGGATCTGATAAAATAAACATAAACTTAGAAATTCCTAATACATGGAAATAACTAATATAACTTCACAACTTGGTACCTGGGAGGGATGCAATAAATGGTGGTGGCTATCATTATCATGTTTCAATGAATCTAAGATGTCATCAATTAAGTATGCATACCTTCCACTAGACAAGGATTTCCTTTTAGGAGGCCTCTGCCGGGCACTTTCAATGACATACTAAAAAAAGAAAAGTTTATGAACATAACTTGCCTTTTACTTAGTGAAGGAACAAATATGTTTCTTGCCAATATCTGTAAGGCTAAAAAGGCTATTTATACACACAAGTGTCTGATTCATTTCAAATGATAACGTGTAGGGAAAACTACTTAACTTCTAAATACATGTGAAATGTAAACAGCACTAAAATGTAGCATTATACACCTACTCCTCACTATTGCCATAATTAGGTTCCAAAAACAAGGTTTTTATGTGAAAATGGAAGGTTTTTTAAAAAAATTATTTTCAGATCATCCATTAGTCCAAATTTTTTTAACTTAGAACTATGATTACAGACAGGAATAACAGCAACTAAGATTTACTGATATGCTCATTACTGTGATGAATCCAGCTATGGATTATTCCTCTGCAAAGGAGGTTGGAGGAGACAAAGCTAAATAAAGCTGGGCGGTGTGACTGGAGAGCCCCCAGCTTAACACTTCACCTTCCTCCAGTGTTGGGTCAGTTTCCCTGAAAAAGCAGTCTCCAGGATTCCACTCGTACCCCTACAAGCCCTCCATTCAGTCCTGGAGCCTGCTCTGCCCTTCAGGCCTGGTGACTCACCAAGGCTCAGGGCTTCCTGGGAGGATGCTGGGATTCTAGTCAAGAGCTCAACACCGAACATCAACAAGGCAGAGGCTTCAGGTCCAGTTCAGCACTCTTTGGTATACCTAACTAGCAAAAAAGCAAACATTTCTTCCCAACACCGTCTGATACTTTCCTACCCCAGAGCAATTCTAAGCTGCACAGCCTCAGACTACAAAGGAGCTGTGAGCCCAAAACAAGTGCCTGTTGGCTAGGTGTTGCCGGTGCATTCGCCTGGTGGCTATCATGGAGGAAACCGGCCCCACACAGGAGATGGACAGAGTACTCCTGCAAGCAGGAGGGAGCGAAAGGCAAGGGCAGCCCTCCTTGAGGCAGGGGATGCTATGAAGCTATTGATTAGTTACTGCACAAAACACTTGGAAAGTAGATTTTTTACTGTTGTAAATGTGAAATGTTGATGAGATAGTTCGAGAGGAGTAGGTGTATTTCAATACTATGATATAAGCAAAAGCTTACAGAACTGTGATTTCACAGGTCAGAAATATTAATACGCTTTATGGTTATTCAGAAAATAAGAACGTATTTGAAACAGTACTATATTCTGCAAGGATTTTTTAGCTGTTTTTTGTCCTTTGATTAATCAGAAAACTTATAAAACAGGAAACAGTAATTTTAGAAATTTGATGTCATTGTTCAAATATATTTTATTCCACAGCATTATGATCTAAGGAGTCCAAGTAATACATGATCCAAATATGACCTGTTATTTCTGCATATTCATAGCAAAAGTATTAACATATTTGTCCTAAAATAATATACACACATCTCTTAAAATTGAGTTTTTGTCAATTTAAGGCTATTTTAATATGCAACTTAGTTATGCCTCACCTCTGCACGATCCAAAGCTAGTTCTAAAGCTTGTTGCTGTAAAAGTAAATAGTGTATTTGGTAATATTAGTTATTTTCACAATAATTGAATATACATTCAACATTTCTAATTAAGTATTTAAAATGTACTCTATTTTAAAAATGTTTTTAAAAGATTTTTTTCTCAACTCTCATCTGTCCCCTTATATGCTAAAAAGATTACATGAACAAATGTGGCAGCATTATGTACCTGATTGTGGCTAAAAACTAGTTAAGAAATGCTAAAACTGTTTCTGTGGTTAGTACTCTAAGAGACTGATACAGAAGGTGGGTACCGCTAGTTTTGTTGTTTGTATCTTCAAGGTGATTTCAACTCCTGGCAAATCCATGTGTGTAGAGCAGAACTGCTCCACAGGATTTTCAAAACTGTGCCTTTTCGGAAGTGGATCACCAAGCTTTACATCTGAGGCATATATATCCTTAAGATAGGGATCGGGGCGGTTTGGTACATAATTATCAACTTAGAAAGTTTTAACATCTGCAGAGAATCTATAATAACCGATATCTAGCTCAATGTCTAGGAGGCATGAAATAAATGATGATTATTATATTACAATGAATTTAACATGCCTCCAATTATATGTATGCATCATTTTTTTAGACCACATTAAGAAAAAAAAATTGCTGTCAATTATAATTGTAGGATGTCACTGATCATAGACTCATCTGGAATTCAGGGACTTAAGATGTAAAAAATGCATCTTAGAATTGATGAAACATAGTATTATTACTAAGAATAATATTTAAGATCTACTAGTTAATCCTCATCCTTCATCCATTTCTTCAAAATTTTTATTCTATGGAAGAGGGAGAAATATAAAAGTGATGTCTTCCTCATTTGTGAGGTTTACATCTACAGTAACACATAAGAAAAAATAAACCACTAGGTTCTCAACAAGGTTATGCAAATATGTACCATGGAGGATTTATATTTCCTATTTTGTAGTTTGGGCACCACACAGTTACAGTATTTTTCATTCAGAATGCTAGGTATTTTAAAAATCCATTCAGAAGCAAAGAACATCCACCAAAATTCCAGAATAGCTTCAGGAAGAACAATTTCCCATCCTTTGGAAATGCATGGAAAGGTGTAAGTGACCCTGACACCATAACTATGCATGGAAAACTCACATAAATAACCCTATAAAAATAATTCATACAAATAATTCTATAAAAATAGCTAGTCTTTTTAGCACACAAAAACCTAAATAAGTGAAAAAAGTCTGAAATTTGCCATCGTTCAATAGGCTCAGTTAAAATAAGTTTATTCAAAGTTATTTAAAAATCTTATTAAGAAGTATTGTTGTTAAATACTGTCAAGTCAGTTCTGATTCATAGCGACCCTATATAGGGTTTCCAAGGAGCAGCTGGTGGGTTTTAACCGCAGACCTTATGATTCACAGTCCAGTGTCGGTCCTACAGTGCCACACCAGTAGTAGTTCCCAGGATTTACAATGAGCTTTTTGAGCAAAACCTATTTTTCAGAATGAAAATACTAGGATTTATGTTTGTTGCTGGTGTTATGTGCCACTGAGTCGGTCCCGACTGACAGTGATCCAGGGACAAGGCTTCCGAGGCTATCAATCTTTACAGAAGCAGAAAGCCTCCTTTTTCACCCATGGATCAGCTGGTAAATTTGAATTGCTGACCTTATGGTTAGCAGCCCAGTAAGGAACTCACTACCTCACCAGGGCTTCTCTGGATCTCTATTCCTGACAAATACATAAAGTTCTTAAAATAAGCTTACGATGTAAATGTGCTGTGAAGAATTAAATAAACACTATAGGATAATTTTAAATAGCAGTCCTCTCAAGAAAACAATTTATCTTCTGATATCAAAACTTCAAAATGCTAGTTAGATACACAGATGCATGCACATTTGTAAATGCGTCATTCATTCAGTCTCCTGAGGGAAATGCTAAGAAAGTAAGAATGCAAAACATAAGCAACAGCAGAATCCTATTGATATATTTTCACTTTTTAATAATAGGGTAGGAGTAGAATTATGAAGAGGGCTTTTTAAAATTTGTGGGGAAAAAATCCCATTTTAATTCCCTTATTCCATGAACCTTTTGAAACCCCCTCATATAAGCTCCCAATAGAAGACACATATGTGTTTTCCAAGGTTTGATCAATGCTCATGTATTGTTATATGCTCTTTCCTCTTTAAAATATTAAAAAAATACTTTTTTCTTTAATTTTTTAATGGCAAAAGTTAATGAATGGTCTTAAGTATGCTTGATGACTGGAAGTCAGTCATCAGAAACATAAGAGAAGAGTTAGCACTGACGTTGCTTAACGTTTATACCATGTACGGTAAACAAGTAAATGGTTTGTGTATTTATTTTTAAATTAAAAAAAAAAAAGAGACCATTGAAAATATGAGAAACCTGTGCTCCACCCCAAACTATTTTTAGTTACACTCATTTGCATTGCTAAGAATTTGGTTTTAAAAAATACTTCACAAAGATAGATGAATTATCGATATAAATTATATTTGACAATTTAAATTATAACCCTTAATTTCAACATGAGTATTACATTATGTAGAGAATACTATGCATGTGATTGCTAAGTAATTCAAAGTTGAGTAACTTACACAATATGTAAAAGTATTTCTGTATCGATAACACAAATATTTCTATGGAGATGAAGGAAGAGAACATTCTAATGCCCTTCTAAAACACACATTTGGAACAAATGAGTTATAGCTTACCATTGTGGTATAATACAGGATTCCAAAAAGAGGAGAAAATTTAAATGTGTTGATGAAGTAGGGTGAAAATCATGTCTTTAATATCAATCTTATAGTACTGCAAAAGCAAAAACAACAAAAACCTCTTTATTACATAAGACTAACCAGAAAAGGAAATGAGATTTCGTAATTAACAAGGAAAATTACTTGAGGCACATATATTTTTAACATAAAATCTGTTCTGATAAAATTTAAGTACTAAAATTTATCTGTTTATTGCTAAGTAGTACAGTTTGAACTAGGTAGGAACAAATACAGTTTGCAAGCTAAAATGATGACTTTCTTGAAAAATACTTAGCATCTCTGGATAAAGAAAGAGTAGAAACAGCTCCATACAGGTTCCTTTAGAGAAAAGCACATTCTTCCCAACAACTCCTATGTAAATTCTGCTGGAAAATAACAGGTTTTGTTTACAACTTTTGCCATTTATAATCTTCGAGCGTAAAATACTAATTCAATTGGCCACAAAGTTCTCTATATTGCATTTTCTTATAGATTATTGTTGTTGTTGTTAAGTGCCGTCGAGTTGATTCTGACCTGTAGAGACCCTGTATAAGGTTTTCGAGTAGCAGCTGATGAGCTTGAACCGACAACCTTGCAGTTCAAACAGCTTTGCAGTCTGGCACATTAACCCACAGTACCACACCAGGACTCCTTCTTATAGATTATGTCTCCTCAAAATATGTATTGTAAATCCTATTCTCTATACCTTTTTTCAACAACATACCAACCACTATGCATGTGCACATTGCTGGATGGAAAACACAGAAATCAAACAGAATGTGGGAAGGGACCATGGAAAAGGCTCAATATTGTTATTCAGAACAAGGATGTTCATATGCAACTTCAGGCAGAAGCTAAAGAAAATTAAAACACCATTAAGAGTCAAAATATGACCTGGAGTATATTCTACCTGAATTTAGATACCATCTCAAAATCAGATTTAATGCATTGTCTAATGAATGAAAACCAAAAGAGTTGTGGGATGACATCAAGGAATCACATATGAAGAAATCAAAAGGCCATTAAAAAGACAGAAAAGAAGGGAAATAGCAAAATGATTATCAGAAAAGACTTTGAAACGTGCTCTAGAATTTAGAGAACCTAAAAGAATGGGAGTGCGGTGGCTCCATTAGATAAACACTGGACTGGGAACCACAAGGTTTGCGTTAAGAGCACACCAGCCACTCCCCTGGGGGTTAAAATGAGGCTTTCTGCTCCCACAAATATCTGGTGCCTCGGAAACCCTATACAGGGTCTCTATGAGTTGGAACCAATTCCATGGCACGTAACAACAACAAAGTAAAAGGAAGATACAATGAAATAAAAGAGCTGAATATAATGAAAGATTTCAAAGGACTGTTCCAAAAGACAAAGCTTTAAAATGAAATATACAAAAGACCTGGAGTCATGTTTGGCATTTCTCAAGCTGAGAGAACTCAAAATTCAAGCCTAGAGCTATAACACCAAAGGATTTCATGGCAAAATATTGAATGACACAAGAAGCATCAAAAGAAGATAGAATGAATACAAAGAGTGATTTTATCAAAAAGAATTTATCAATGTCCAACAATTTCAGGAAGTAGCATATGATCAAGAACCAATAGTACTGAAGGAAGAAATTCAAGCTGTACTGAAGGCACTGGCTAAAAAACAATGTTCTGGTAATTGATGGAATACAAATAGAGAAATTTCTCAACAAACTGATGCAGAAGTAGACTACCTGGCCAACTGATTGGACGAAATTCATACTTGCGTTCATTCCAAAGAAAGGTGATGTGGAAATCAGGGAACAATATAATATCACATGCAGGTAAATTTTTGCTGAAGAAAAAAAAAATTGTAGCAGTACATTGACAGGGAACTGCCAGAAATTCAAGCCAGATTCCTTAGAGGGGATGGAAAAAGGGATATTATTGCTAATATGTGTCAGATGGATCTTAGCTGAAAGCAGAGTATCAGAAATAAGTTTAGGTGTGTTTTGTTGATTATGCAAATGTATTTCACTGTGGAGATCATAATAAACTATAGTGCTAATGAGGAATCTGTACATAGACCAAGAGGCTGCCATTAGAACAGAATAGGGCATATTGAGGGGTTTAAAATTAGGGAAGGTGTGAGCCAGGATTTCACCCTTTCACCATACTTATTCCTAGTGTGGTGCTGTTGGATAAGCACTAGGATGGGAACTGCAAGGCTGGCAGTTCAAACCCACCAGTTGACCCTGAGAACCCTATAAAGGGTCCCCATGAGTCAGAACCAACTCCACAGCACTTAACAACTCAATCTATATAATAGGCAACTAATCTGAGAACATAAACTATATGAAGAACACGGCATTAGGATTGGAAGAAAATCCATAAAGAATTGATGACTTTGAATGATGTGAATGGATAATATTAAATGACAGGGGGCTTCAAAAAGTTCACGGAAAAGTTTCACGATCTTTTAATTCCATGAACTTTTTGAAGCCCCTAATCCTGGTGTGGGGCTATGGGTTAATGTGCCAATTGCAAAGCCATCTGAACAGCAAAGTTGGCGGTTCAAGCTTACCAGCTGCTCCTTGGAAAGCCTATACAGGTTTACTATGGGTTGAAATCGACTCAACATCACTAAACAACAACAATATACCACAAGAGTCCCGGTGTGGCACTGTGGGTTAATGCACCAGACTGCAAGGTCAGTTTGAACTGCAAGGTCGGCAGTTCAAGCTCAACCAGTTACTCCTTGGAAACCCTATACAGGGTCGCTATGGGTCAGAATTGACTCGATGGCACTTAACAACAACAATATATCATGAACTGCTAGACATCTATGTTGAAAGATGTAGAGCCAAAATAGTTCTTAGACACAACTAAGAACTATTTTGGCACATTATCAGGAGGGACTGGCACATCTGTTACTTGTGGCATTTAGTTGTATCCTCTCTGCCTAAGTTGTTGTTATATGCCATGGAGTCGGTTCTGACTCATAGTGACCCTGCACAGGGTTTCTGAGGCTGTAAATCTTTACCGGAGCAGAAAGCCTCATCTTTCTCCTGTGGAACAGCTGATAGTTTCGAACTGCTGACCTTGTGGCTCGCAGCCCGATTCATAACCACTACGTTACCATAGAGAGACGCTCTCCTAAGAGAGAAGGTATAAGTGGTAAATAAAGCTACTTTCCAATCTGATTCTTATAACCATCCTGTGAACTGCCACAGTTGAGTCCAAGCACAATGTTCTGGTGACAGGACACAGAATTTTCTATGTAAAACTGTTTTTGATTTGTGTGTATGTTGAACTAAAAACTTAGGTTTTGCCAGTTCAGGATCAAAATAAGAAAAAAGAAAACAATAAAAAAAAACAAACCATGGACTGAGCTCTTATGGCTGTGTTAATAATTATTAAAATAATTAATAACTTAAAAAGACATTAACCTCACCTTAACAGATCTCACAGGAATTTAAGCTGAGTTTAGGTAAAGGTAATCTAAAGGAAAATATGGACAATCAAAATATGATGGAAGAGGCTTAGGAACTTTGCAGTATCAAAGTACTGGGTGGTGTTTCCTTCATAGGGTAGCTGTGGATCGAACCGACTGGATGGCACCTAACAACAAACTTAGTAGGTTACTTATACACCAAACATTTTGATTGTATAGAGAACTTAATGAAACAGTATGACGACACCCTAGCAATTATCTCCATTTTACAGAAGAAGTTCAAACAAGTAATTTCCCAAATTCACACTTGGAAATTCAGACCTCTCAGTTTATCTTAATTCTTTTTACTTAGTCTTAGTATAATACTGATACAACCTCTAAACCACCCAAATCGTTACCCATTTTTTAGATTTCTAAAGCAAGTCACATATAATAAAGACCCAATTCCACTCAAGCTAATGCAAACCTTTCTTTTCAATTTCGACTTTACATCAACAATCCATACACTGTACTCAGCCTAACTCGAAAATTTTGCTAGTCACCTTCTATTTTGATGTGGCACTGTAGGATCAGCACTGGTCTTCTAACCACAAGCTCAGCAGTTCAAATCCACCTCTGCTCCTTGGAAATCCTATACAGGGTCGCTATGAAGCGGAAACGACTCCACGGCAATTAACAACAAGGAATTTTGATATATTGTATTAGGAAACAGCAACCTACCGCTAAGCAGAGAGATGGCTTCTAGGGGCATCTATTGGGTAATCTAATTTCAGAACTCCTATGAAATGCACCATGGCGAGCGAGGGCCAATAACCCAATTAAAAATGTCTCTATTTGCAGTTGTACTAATTTCGATTTGCGTTTCATGCAACTACACAAGGTTTTCTAACAACTTATGGTTTACCTACAAAATGCCGCAACTTCACAGTTGATCGAACAGCTTTTATTCAATATGGACACCAAGAAGCCCGCCCCAAGACACGCTACACAAAATTCTAGCGAGTTCCCGGAAATACCTATACCTGGAACCATAAACACAAAATAATTATTAACGCGCGGCTTCGTTACACCGCAAAAAGCAAAGGAGGCACAGGTACCAGCCGTGTCAGGGACTGGTGGACCACTGGCCCGGCCCTCCAGGTCCCGGGGTCTGTGCTCCAGAGCGCACCTGGGAAACACTCTCTCAAGCCACAATCTCGCAAGCTCCCTCGGCCCGTTGCGGGCCCGGAACATCGCCCTCCCGCCTCGCTGTCGCCCACCTGTGCCGACCGCCGCCGCCTTGGGCCTCATGACTGTGCCTCCGGCCGAACACTATGTGCCGAGCTGGGCCCCGCACAGCCGGCTGCCCTCCCGCTTGCCGCCGCCGCCGCCGCTCGCTCCTCCCGCCCCCTCGCGGCGCAGCACCTCAGTCCAGCTGGCAGTCTGTTCCGGCGCACGAACTTCTTCCTGCCGGCTGGGCGAGCGCCTGACCCCGAGCGGAAGGGGCGGAGCTGGTAGGGCCAGACAGGCCGTGAGGCTAGGGCCCTGGAGTTCCCGCGAGGCCTACCGAGACTCTGGGCTCTGGTGGAGCTCAAGAGCTCCTGCTCCCTGTGAGTCAGTTTGCGTATATAAAATGCGAGGCTCGAGTGCAAATGT